TTAAAGCATAAATGCCTCTCTCTCTTTCTCTAACTCTTTCACACACACACACACACACACACACACACACACACATACACACACACCAGCAGCGTCCTCTTGTCCTATGTATGTAAATTAATCTCGCTAAATTAGGTTTCGTAAGGCAGGTAAATCAGACACGGAGACTTGTTGTGTTTTTTATTCCCTGAGTGGAGAAAAGTTTGAGGAAAATCAGACCATGAAACAGCTGTACACCTGTTGGAGTTGTACAGGTCTTGTTTGTGTGTTAGGTTAGTCCATGGAACAGCTGTACACGTGTTGAAGTTGTACAGGTCTTGTTTGTGTGTTAGGTTAGTCCATGGAACAGCTGTACACGTGATGAAGTTGTACAGGTCTTGTTTGTGTGTTAGGTTAGTCCATGAAACAGCTGTACACGTGTTGAAGTTGTACAGGTCTTGTTTGTGTGTTAGGTTAGTCCATGGAACAGCTGTACACGTGTTGAAGTTGTACAGCTCTTGTTTGTGTGTTAGGTAAGTCCATGGAACAGCTGTACACGTGTTGGAGTTGTACAGGTCTTGTTTGTGTGTTAGGTTAGTCCATGGAACAGCTGTACACGTGTTGGAGTTGTACAGGTCTTGTTTGTGTGTTAGGTTAGTCCATGGAACAGCTGTACACGTGTTGAAGTTGTACAGGTCTTGTTTGTGTGTTAGGTTAGTCCATGGAACAGCTGTACACGTGTTGGAGTTGTACAGGTCTTGTTTGTGTGTTAGGTTAGTCCATGGAACAGCTGTACACGTGTTGAAGTTGTACAGGTCTTGTTTGTGTGTTAGGTTAGTCCATGGAACAGCTGTACACCTGTTGGAGTTGTACAGGTCTTGTTTGTGTGTTAGGTTAGTCCATGGAACAGCTGTACACGTGTTGGAGTTGTACAGGTCTTGTTTGTGTGTTAGGTTAGTCCATGGAACAGGTGTACACTCTTGTAATTTGTACAAGTGAAAGACTTTAGTCACATCAACCCAGGATATCACTGTACACTCAAACTGAATTGATACAGATGTACTGTACGTAAAATAACTCCAGGAAACAGGTGTACACGTGTTGAAGTTGTACAGGTGAATTGTGTGTGCTTTTAGCTTGAGGTAGGGGGGGGGGAATCTGCTCAGAAACAGGTGTACACGTGTTGGGGTGTAGGTGAATTGTGTGTGGCACAGCTTGAGGGGGGGGGGAATCTGCTCAGGAAACAGCTGTACCAGGGCGGAAATGACGCAGTCGACATGTTTTTGCACACCAGACGGGGAACCAGGTGAGCAAGAACATACCGTGGAAAAGTTTTATTTAATTAAACAGAGCATCAGGTGCAGGTCGGCCCCCAAGAGCTACCGTCAGATTATTGCTGCTGTTGTTGTTGTGGGACTTTAAGCTGGGACATAATGATGCAGTGGTAAAGCCCAGTTGTTTTCCTCCACCATTCACGTAGAACAGGTGTACACGACCCACAAGTTATGTACAACCAGCGACTTTGAACACACTAGTCCAGAGAACAACTGTACACGATTCCAGATCATGTACAACCAGGAAAAACCATATCACACCAAATACTTCTGCCACACCCTGAAGTTTGACCACAGTGTCCCAGTACCTGTAGAGACCGAACAGTGTGTGTGTGTGTAGAGGTCTTGCCACAGGCTACACAAAGATACTGAGGGCGGGAGGGGGGCTGGGAGGGGGGCAGGGAGGGGGCAGGGGAGGGAGGAGGGGTGACTAGGTAGAGGGCTGAGAGAGAGAGAGAGAGAGAGAGAGAGACTACACACACACACACACACACACGTCTGTCCAGATTATTCGTGCAGGAAATCGACCCAAATTTTGTGGTGTCAGAGCTTTAGGGTGCGTTCAGGGGGGGACCTGGGTGCGTTCATCAGGGGCCTGTCTATTTTGGGTTCTGATTGTGTGTTGGTGAGCTTAGGGTGTGTTGGTGAGCTTAGGGTGTGTTGATGAGCTTAGGGTGTGTTGATGAGCTTAGGGTGTGTTGATGAGCTTAGGGTGTGTTGGTGAGCTTAGGGTGTGTTGGTGAGCTTAGGGTGTGTTGATGAGCTTAGGGTGTGTTGGTGAGCTTAGGGTGTGTTAAGAGGAGATTTACATATTTAGAATCTGATTTGTGGGTGACGAAATTTTGTTTTTATTTAGAATATTTTTCAAGCAATTTCCTTACTGGTTACAAACACACATACAGACACAAACACACACACACACACCAATATACACACACATACTGTCATACACACCACTATACACACACATACACACCTATACACATACACACATCAACGTACACACACACACACCAATATACACACACATTCAGTCCTACACACCACTATACACACACATATACACCTATACACATACACACATCAACGTACACACACACACACACACACCATATACACACATTCAGTCTACACACACTATACACACATACACACCTATACACACACACACATCAACGTACACACACACACACACACCAATATACACACACATACAGTCATACACACCATACACACACATACACACCTATACACATACACACACAATACACACACACACACACACACACAATATACACACACATACAGTCATACACACCACTATACACACACATACACACCTATACACATACACACATCAACGTACACACACACACACACACACCAATATACACACACATTCAGTCCTACACACCACTATACACACACATACACATACACACATACACACACAACATCACACACACACACACACACACCAATATACACACACATTCAGTCCTACACACCACTATACACACACATACACTATACACATACACACATCAACGTACACACACACACACACACCAATATACACACACACAGTCCTACACACCACTATACACACACATACACACTCACATACACACATCAACGTACACACACACACACACACATATATGGATACAAATATACCTTTCTATTTTCATTACTCTCCTTCCTTTTTTCTTCTCTCTCCTCTTTCATTCCTCTATTTTTCCTTCTTATCCCAGGTCTCTCTCTCTCTTCTCTCTCTCTCTCTCTCTCTCTCCTCTCTCTCTCTCTCATACATAAACAAAGCGCCAGTCTCCACTAAACACGACCCCTCACTGTGGGATGGAGAGAACTTGATAAACATAGACATGGGAGGAAATGGTGAAGGAAATGTAGAGAATAAGTGAAATGTTGGAGTTATTCTTGTTGTTGTTCTGTTCCTTCTTCTTCTTCTTTTTCATTTTCCTCCTCTTGTTCCTCCTCCTCCTCCTCTTCCTCCTCCTCCTCCTCTTCCTCCTCCTCCTCCCTCCTCCCTCCTCCTCCTCCTCCTCCTCCTCCTCCTCCTCCTCCTCCTCCTCCTCCTCCTCCTCCTCCTCCTCCTCCCTCCTCCCTCCTCCTCCTCCTCCTCCTCCTCCTCCTCCTCCTCCTCCTCCTCCTCCTCCTCCTCCTCCTTGTTCATCTTACCCAGCACTTTATTCTCCATTATTTTTGCTTTACTCGAGAATATTGACTTCGTGTCCTTCTTGGTCTCATAAACTGAAAAACTAGTTGTATTTTTCGCCCACCTGAGGTAAATGTGGTGGGTGTGGTGGAGTGTGGTGGGAGTGTGGTGGAGTGTGTAGTAGAGGTATGGTGGGGTGTGGGTGTGGTGGTGTGTGGTGGAGTGTGGTAGGGGGTGTGGTGGAGTGTGTGTAGGGGTGTGGTGGTGTGTGGTGGAGTGTGGTACAGGTGTGTGGCCCCACCCTACACTCCTCCTCCTTCCTTCCCCCCCCTCCTCCTTCACCCCATCCCCTCCATCTCCCCCCTTCTCCCCTCCCTCACCCACTCCTCCTCACCCCATCCTCCTCACACTCCCCCTCCCCTCATCCTCCCCTCACCCACCCTCCCCTCACCCCCACCCCCCATCCCCTGACCACTAAGGTGTTCATCAAACAGAGGACTGACGTCACGACACACACACAGAGAGAGAGAGAGAGAGAGAGGTGGTAGTTAGTGAATAAAGGAGAGGAGGAAGAAGGGGAGGTGGAGGTGAGAGGTGGAGAAAGAGGATGGGAGGAGGAGGAAGAGGGGGAGAAGGAGGGGGGAGGAGATGAAGGCCAACATAAAGAGAGAAAGAACAAGCGGAATGAAAGAGGCAGACGAGAGGAAGATAAGGGAGAGAGAGAGAGAGAGAGAGAGTGGAGTAACGATAAATTCTCTTTCTCTCTCTCTCTCTCTCTCAATAAACAAAAAGCTAAAATAACTCACATGTAGCTCACGTCAGCTACAGCTTTTCGTTACAGCAAAATTCAATATATTGGTACAGAGATTCTCCCGCTGTATTTTGTAACGCGATGAAATATTTATAAACTCTAGCAAATAACTGTAATCTATTTTACCATTAAAGTCGATATTACAGCTGTATTTTATGAGTGTAATTTATTCTGTCGCTGTATTTTGGTGTAATACTGTATCTTGTCAGTTATTGTTTAAGAAGCAATGTTGTTTTTGTAACCTACACTATATTTTGTAACCAACACTGTATTTTGTAACCAACACTATATTTTGTAACCAACACTGTATTTTGTAACCAACACTGTATTTTGTAACCAACACTGTAATTTTGTAACCAACACTGTAATTTTGTAACCAACACTGTATTTTGTAACCAACACTGTATTTTTTGTAACCAACACTGTATTTTTGTAACCAACACTGTATTTTTGTAACCAACACTGTATTTTTGTAACCAACACTGTATTTAGAGCGTCCATTCAGCTTATTGCAAATTGCATTCTCTTCAGCTTCGTGCCGAGCGGAGATGTGTTGCAACAGCTTCCAATTGCCCCAAAAAATGATCTGTGTCGGTTATGAATTTCATGAGAGAGAGAGAGCATTTTTTATTGAATTTTGGCAGTTCAGTGCAGGTTCTTACTGACTTGGCTGATAGATAACACAGACAGAAGGACTCACCGAGAAGTTGCCATAGCCCAGGTGGTCACAGGTACACTGACACCTGAGGATGTGGTCCTGTATGTCAGTTGGTAGGTCCTCAAGGCTCCTGCTAAGGCGCCTCCCTCCTGCCCAGGGGTCCTCTGCTGCCAGGCCCAGGGCGTCACTCAACCTCGCCTCCACGCTACTCCCCTGAGGCACCTGGAGGAGGGGAAGAAGGAGGACAGGTTAATTGGTGGTTAGGTCAGCTGGTGAGGTCAGTGGGGAAGTTAAGTCACGAGATGGATTAGTTAGGTTAGGTAGATTTTCGGTCAGGTCAGCTGGTGAGGTCAGTGAGGAAGTCAGGTCACGAGATGGATTGGTTAGCAGGTGGTTATATCATTGGGTGGTCAGGCAGGCAGGTGGTCAGGTTAATATAGGGTCGGGATAGCAGAATGTTAGGTCAACAGGTAGTCAGGTCATCAGGTGGTGGAAATAACATGTAGTCAGGTCATCAAGAGGTAGAAATAACAGGTAGTCAGGTCATCAGGTGGTGGAAATAACATGTAGTCAGGTCATCAAGAGGTAGAAGCAACAGGTAGTCAGGTCAAATAATGCCTCAAGTCAATACCTCAGTATATTTAATCTAAGTTCTATCCTGAAAAACTAATAACTTGTCTCTGGTGATCGATGGAAATATCCGCGCCTCAGGGGGTAAAACCTAGCTTGTGTAGCACCCTGGTGACGTAAATATAGTGAAAAGTCCATTTAACGCACTAAATTGAGAGGGAAGTTCGTTATATCAAGGGTCTGTTAGATGTGAAACGTCCATTTAACGCACTAAATTGAGAGGGAAGTTCGTTATATCAAGGGTCTGTTAGATGTGAAACGTCCATTTAACGCACTAAATTGAGAGGGAAGTTCGTTATATCAAGGGTCTGTTAGATGTGAAACGTCCATTTAACGCACTAAATTGAAAGGGAAGTTCGTTATATCAAGGGTCTGTTAGATGTGAAACGTCCATTTAACGCACTAAATTGAGAGGGAAGTTCGTTATATCAAAGGTCTGTTAGATGTGAAACGTCCATTTAACGCACTAAATTGAGAGGAAGTTCGTTAATCAGGGGTCTGTTAGATGTGAAACGTCCATTTAACACTTTGAAATTGAGAGAAGTTCGTTATATCAAGGGTCTGTTAGATGTAAACGTCCATTTAACGCACTAAATTGAGAGGAAGTTCGTTATATCAAGGGTCTGTTAGATGTGGCGTCCATTTAACACTAAATTGAGAGGAAGTTCGTTATATCAGGGGTCTGTTAGATGTGAAACGTCCATTTAGCACTAAATTGAGAGGAAGTTCATTATATCAAGGGTCTGTTAGATGTGAAACGTCCATTTAACGCACTAAATTGAGAGGGAAGTTCATTATATCAAGGGTCTGTTAGATGTGAAACGTCCATTTAACGCACTAAATTGAGAGGGAAGTTCGTTATATCAAGGGTCTGTTAGATGTGAAACGTCCATTTAACGCACTAAATTGAGAGGGAAGTTCGTTATATCAAGGGTCTGTTAGATGTGAAAAGTCCATTTAACGCACTAAATTGAGAGGGAAGTTCGTTATATCAAGGGTCTGTTAGATGTGAAACGTCCATTTAACGCACTAAATTGAGAGGGAAGTTCGTTATATCAAGGGTCTGTTAGATGTGAAACGTCCATTTAACGCACTAAATTGAGAGGGAAGTTCGTTATATCAAGGGTCTGTTAGATGTGAAAAGTCCATTTAACGCACTAAATTGAGAGGGAAGTTCGTTATATCAAGGGTCTGTTAGATGTGAAACGTCCATTTAACGCACTAAATTGAGAGGGAAGTTCGTTATATCAAGGGTCTGTTAGATGTGAAACGTCCATTTAACGCACTAAATTGAGAGGGAAGTTCGTTATATCAAGGGTCTGTTAGATGTGAAACGTCCATTTAACGCACTAAATTGAGAGGGAAGTTCGTTATATCAAGGGTCTGTTAGATGTGAAACCTCCATCTAATGAACTATATAGAGATGAAAGTCTATTATATCGAAGGTTCGTTATATGGAGAGGAAGTTCGTTATATGGAGGATTCACTATAAACAAATCAAGGAAATAAAGGAGAAATTACACAGTTTAGCACTCGATGATGTCACGAAGTCAAGGGGGGGTGTTTAAGTCTCCACTTAGCCATTTTGTCTGTGTTCTAATTACGATATTTTTCTAACCATTTCGTTATTATCTCTTAAAATAACAGTAAAACACGAGTAATTTAAACACTAACGAGCTATAGGGTGATTCTTTGGGTGTATGTCCTTCAACCAATCAGCTACCTTGATCCAAACTACCTCATGGTCTCATTTACAAAGTCATCTGGTGGTCAGGACAACAGAGGGTGAGCCATGGACGCCATTAAAGGGAGAGAGGGTATCGTAATCGTTTTGCCAATCCTCAATCCATCCATCCTGGGGAAAATAAAAGTTTATTTCCCTTTAAACTCTTTTACCGATTTTGGTGAAATTTGGCACCAGTGTCACACGTCAGTCGAGGATGACCTGGAGGGGATGTGGTGAAGGTTGGTGAAAGGTGAAGGTCACAACGAGAGGTCAAAGTTCATCTGATTTGATTTGACTTGATCTAACTTCACCTAACATGACTTGAACTGTTAACTTATGTATGTTAACTTATTTATTTTAGTTGATTATTTATTTATTAATTTATTTATTAATAATATGAATAAAAAAGATTTAAATATAGAGAAAAAAATAAGAAATAAGAGAAGAAATTATCGTTATTTATCATTATTATTATTATTATTATTATTATTATTATTATTATTATTATTATTATTATTATTATTATTATTATTATTATTATTCGTCATCAATAAAGCGAATGAGAGTAAAAAAAATAAACAAAACTTAATAAATCTTAACATATTTTTAACCTCTAGAGTAAGATAAATTTATTCACTAAATATAACACAAGTGAAGTTAACTAGAGAAAATAGACTCAGAGTGAAGCAACTGAAGTCCCTCCACAGGTCGCACTTACAGACACACATACTCAGAGGTTGAAGTGCCACTTACTGAAGGGTGACGTGAGGTTAAGTGTATGTGTGGGGTTACTTACACTTACTTAACACTTAATGAATGGATAAGTAATATTTGTGTAGATTTCGAACAACAACAACACCAACTACAAGATAAATAATAGCCGATAATAGCAAGAAATAGGAAATAATACGAAAGAGAACGAAAAAAGAAAGGAGAAGAAGAGGTAAATAAATGGAAGTGAGGGAGAGAAGGAGGGAGAGAGGGGAAGAGATGGAAAAAAGATAGAGGTAGAACACAGGTGGAAAGAATGAGAGAAGGAGGGGGAGAGGAAGAAAAGTGAGGGAGGCAGACAGACAGAAACAGATACAGATCGACAGACAGAGAGACAGATAGACAGACAGATTGAGACAGACAGACAGACAGACAGAGAGACAGATATAGAGACATGGAGAGACAGGGGGAGACAGATAGACAGAAAGAGACGGAGAGATACTCACCATACATAAGGAGCCGTGATAAGAGGGTGGAGAGATCTCACGATATTCTTCAGGAACGTCCAAAGTCCCCGTCCATTGTTGACATCCTGCGCCCCTAGTGGCCTTACTGACGTCCCTAGTGGCCCTGTTGACGTCCCTAGTACCCCTGGTGACGTCCCTAGTACCCCTGGTGACATCTTCAGTAACGGGGCAAGCTAGATCGGGCGTCACGGAGCAATAATCGTAAGGTACTTCAGTTTCCCCCCAGTCTTGCTCGTCGACGTAAGGACATTGAGTCGAGGTTCTGGTGTGGGTTACATCAGGACGAGTGTATCTCACCCTCGGCAACGTGTCTGGGTGTTCCTGTTCTTCCTTCTGCCTTTCACATGTTTCGTAGATCACCGGAGAGACATCCTGTACGTGGTGAGGTGTCCTTGAGGGGGCGTAGGATACCTCTGATATCCTACAGACCCGAGGAGATGTGTGTTTACCTCCTCCACTGCTACCTCCTCCTCCTCCTCCTCCATTGACACTCATGTTGTTGTGTTGTCGAGTTATTGCTTCAACTACACATTTCACTGCAGTAATTTTCCCCTATTTATTTTTCCTCAGAGGTCAGAGGTCAGAGGTCATTACGTTTGACCTTTTCACTCATGTAGGTAACTATTAACTAATTTTTATTAACACTTACTTGTATTACGTCAGTATATTGTTCTCACACGATACGAGGTGTAGTACTGGGTTTATGAGGTTTAGTACTGGGCTTATGAGGTGTAGTACTGGGTTTATGAGGTGTAGTACTGGGCTTATGAGGTGTAGTACTGGGTTTATGAGGTGTAGTACTGGGTTTATGAGGTGTAGTACTGGGTTTATGAGGTGTAGTACTGGGCTTATGAGGTGTAGTACTGGGTTTATGAGGTGTAGTACTGGGCTTATGAGGTGTAGTACTGGGTTTATGAGGTGTAGTACTGGGTTTATGAGGTGTAGTACTGGGTTTATGAGGTGTAGTACTGGGTTTATGAGGTGTGGTACTGGGTTTACAGGTACAAGGAACACGCGGGTACCTCCGAGTTGAATACAAAACCAGAAGCATCGATTTTATGTACAAATTTCATTACTTTCTGTAGTTTTATGTAATATATCGGGTTTATTTTTGTAACTTTGGGTTTTTTAAGTCACCGGGTTTGTTTTAGGTTTTTTTCTGTATCTGTTGTGGGGTTTTTTTCATATTTTTTCGTTGTTTTTGTATTCCTGTAAAACTCTGGTGGTTTTAATTGCTTTTTTCAACATAACTGTATTACTTTTTGTTGTTATTCCTAATTAGTTTTGTATTTTATCATATTTTTTCTATATATATATATATATTCCACGATAATTTCTCACTAAAACGACACTTAAAACAGATAAAAACCACCTTTAAAACAGACGATCCACAAGCTTGATTAAACCATTTTCAGAGTTAGGTTTAGGTTAGGTTATCCAATGGGTCT